TTCTTTCTTTCTTCTTTCTTTCTTTCTCTCTCTCTCTCTCTCTCTCTCTTCCTTCCTTTCCTGTCTGTCTGTTTTTATGTAGTGTATGTTAGAGGTGCTGACCCTTTGAGAGCTGTATGCAATGAACTTTCATTTTAATGTATGCCAGTATTAAGATAAATACGTGTATAGCTTCATTTCCAGTTTCTTTATCCCCTCAGAAGTACTGTAGGAGCACAAACATTGCAGCTGGTCCTCGACTTGCAACCAGTTGCTTAGCGGTTCATAAAAGCTCCAAAGGAGCCTTCAAAAGGTACCTATCACCTGGTTCCCACAGTCACATGAGTCCATTTTGCATGCTTGGCAACCAGCCTGCATTTATGGCTGTTGGTAGCATCCTGAGGCTACATGACCGTGATTTATGACATTTTTGCTGAAAACCAGTGTTTATTTCCACTTTTCAGCAAAAATGCCCCACAGCAAACCATATGACTGATGCAAAAAAAAGGCATAAAATCAGATCGGCCACACGGGTGACTCGCTTTACAACTGTCAGAACTTATGACCATAATCGGGAGGTCCATCACGGTTGTAAATTAAGGATTACCTGCACTGAAAGCAGCCTATTAAGGCTGAATTAATTAACAAAGACCTTTCTTACGTCCTCACCTGTAGAAGGGCTGACTTGCTGGATGCAAGGTTCTGTGTTCCCCGCACTAATGGGGGAGGTGTTGCTACGGCATTTCCTGAAGAACCAGCAGGCTATGAAACAGACAAACACACGGGGAAGAGAGAGAGAGAGATTAGAACAGAAGCAAACTATTCTGAATGCTCTCTTTTGGTTCTCCATTTATGGGCAGTGAGTTTTCACTGCTAAAATGCCTGTATTGTTTGGTTGCACAACTTTAGAATAGAATAGAATTCTTTATAGGCCAAGTGTGATTGGACACACAAGGAATTTGTCTTTGGTGCATAGGCTCTCAAGTGTACGTAAAGAAAAACAAAATAGAATACATTCATCAAGAATCATGAGATACAACACTTAGTGATAGTCGTAGGTTACTAATAAGCAATCAAATTATACTTTGATAAATAAAACAATATACATTGTAAAGATATAGGCAAGGTGGCTATAGTCATAAGTGGGGAGAGATAGATGCTAGGAAGGAAGAGAAGAACAACAGTAATACAGTCTTAGTAGATAATTTGACATTGGTGAGGGAATTAGTTGTTTAGCAGAGTAATGGGAAAAAGCTGTCTAGTTGTTCTGGTGTGCAGTGCCTATATCCTCATTTTGAGGGTAGAAGTTGAAACAATTTATGTCCAGGATGTAAGGAGTCTGTAGCAGTGGTGGGTTGCCAATTTTTTTACTACCGGTTTGTGTGCACTCCTGCGCGTGCTCGTGCAATGCTTCTGGGCATAAGCATCCGGGAGGATGGGCGGAGCCTCCAGCTGCCACTACTACCGGTTCGGCTGATTCAGGCCAAACCAGCAGCAACCCACCTCTGGTCTATAGATATTTTTACTGGTGCAGTGTACAGGTCCTAGATGGAAGGCAGGTTGGTAGCAATTGCTTTTTCTGCAGTTTTGATTATCTGTTGAAGTCTGTGTCTGTCTTGTTTGGTTGCAGAATCAAACCAGACAGTTATAGAGGTGGAGATGCCAAAATGTGGTGCCAAAATACCTGTATTTTTTTGGTTGCACAACTTTAGCCCANGATGTGATTGAGCAGAATTCATAGTAAATTGATAAAAGGGGTTTTTATTGGGACAAGGAGTTTGCTTCATGCTCTTGGGAAGCCTGGGTCAGAACAGGCCTCTTATGATGATTCCTGGACTCTCCAAGGCTAAGAGAAAGCCAGAATAAATGAACGATATAAAGTGCATTTGCAATTTATGAAGCAGACAAATAAACTGCCTTTTGAACTCCGAGAATTTGAAGTGGCATATGGTACGGTCATGTGATCATCTGGTATCTTTTTGAGATGTGTTTCAAGGCATCTAAGTAGATTTATGAGAAATCTCTTAAGTGTTAAAGATGTTGATGTGATATCAAATTATGTACAAAGCTTTGGAACCTGCTTATCAGGAATTATGGCTGATCGAGCATGGTGGGGTGACTGGAAGAATTATACCGAGAAATTGGAAAGGACATATTCCAGATGTTGAAGAATGGAATGTCTTTTGTAAATGTGAGATTTATCCATCCTGGAAATAGTTGTTTGTTCTGCTAGTCCAGTCAAATAATGGAGCAATATGTACTGCTTTGGCACAGATTTTGTGAAATTTTACAATGATATGTTCTATTGATTTTATAATAACATTTATTAATAAATCAGTAATTAAGGTTTAATATAGAAGGTAGATTTTTCTTTTCTTTGTTTTTTTATCATTATCATTTTTGTTTTTCATTGTCTGTTCTTGAAGGTTAAGAACTGTTACATGTCATTGTATTGTTAAGATGTTTTTTTTTTCACGTTTTGTCAATATTTCACATTTTGAAAACTAGCAAAGAAAGAATCTTTTTTCTTCTTCATAGAAAGAAGAAACTAGTCCACCTTCACGGATTTTCTTGCAAGAGTAAGAAACATACATATTTTCTCAGAGCTGCAAGCTAGCCAATCACCATTAAGATAACCTACATACCTTCAAACTATAATCTAAAAAGTTCCTGGAGGCAGCTGCAGAAAGTTACCTGATTAAAGGCTTCTTTCTGAGCTTGAACAAATCAATATAGAAGTACTTATCCCCAGATGGATTCAACTTGGGGGGGCGGGGGAACATCACCATGTGCTTAATAAGGAAATATACTTCCATCCCAAGAAGAGGATTGTTAACAGCTGATCTAAAGCCATCTCAGGTGAAAATGGCAATACATACAGATTCCCCTAGAGGGCACCCTCATAACGCAATATTTCACTACGCGCCTAAAAAGTTGAAATCGACAAGCAAAATGGGAGGGGGGTGTATTTTCTCCTACCTCTTACATCAGACTCTTCATGGTATTGGATCTGGGTACTTGAGAGACCGCCTGCTGCCAATTACCTCCCACAGACCCATTAGA